CCCAACCCTCCTCCTTTACCCGGGCTTGGGACCGGCAGTAACCCTCAGAGGAGCTACAGGCGGTATATCAAAAACACTTGTGGTTTGCATTAGTTCAGTCGTTTTTTTACTTAATCGAGTCGGAAGGCAGTGATCTGAACAAATTTTTAATACAATTTGACATTAATTAAACTCATCAATGAATATAAGCCTCACATACAATTTAGTTGTAATTTGATAGTCATAAAGTCTCGCTGAAACATAACAAAGAAGAAAACTATTTGAGTAGGATGAAGTAAATGTTGTCTGTTGTTTGTATATACTTTTATCTTTTCAGTCTTTGAGAGTACAACTTCTTAACTTTTGAAATGATGAGTTAACTGGATGTATCGATTCATACAGTTACATCACTGTTAAGTCACGTCAGTAAACATTATTATTATTATTATTATTATTATTATTATTATTATTATTATTATTATTATTATTATTATTAAATCTTTATGTTCAGATCCCTGAATGTACTGAAAGTAAGCAGATGTCTTGTTGGGGGCTAGTACTATGTCAAGTCCACATAGGTTATTTTAACCTTTGGACAGAACAATGTATTCATTCTTTACGAGCCATATTTTGACCTTGTTAATTATTCACTTAGCTACCTTGATTGTTCTTATGTAAGCATATGTGTATGTATTCCTTATTTTAGTTATCAAATGTCTTGTAACTTATTGTTGTGTGATCATAAATATCGATTCACACTTGAATAAATCGAATTGGCTGACTCACCTTCTCCATTACTCGTTGCTTTGCTTTCTGATCAACGATTGTGCAAAATATACGTATTCAAATATCCATTCTCGTATTTGACATATTTAATTCCGTTGATCACCAACACGAGTTAAGTCGATAATTATATACGAAGATTGACGAGATATATTTTTCAAGAACAATCAGGAACAATCTAACTGGAGTCAGATATAGAGCCTCTAAAATATTACATAGTTTTTATGATAAATAAACGTGCGAAAAGGTGTTTTTACGCGTCGTTTTGTAAGCATTTTAAGAAAATGTCTGTTCTATTATAAAGCAGTTCGTATTATTACTTGATTCCATCAATATTTATATCGATTACTTTTAGATTTATTGTTATATCTAGTGTGTGCGTGCCCTGTTAACATATGAACATGATAACACCGCCAATTAGAGAGCAAAGATTTATAGATCGCCCTATGATACACAAAAGCCATCTGAGCAGTCTTGAGCACTTATCAGTACTACTTTCTGCCTAGCCCAAGCAGTTAAGTCCAGAACACCAATAACATCTTCTGCAATATGAATCACTATTCTCAAACATACTGGGTTTATATACCAAACAAACCGGCCACATCGTACCATAAAATAGGAAAATAATATTTGTACAAGATTTGGCCAAATGTGGCTGCGAATAGGGGGAACAGTAATTAATGGACTAGGGATAACTCAAGAATGGTAGATCGTATAATAATAGTTCATAGGTCAAAATAAGGCTTATAATAAAAGGAACAGGAATATGAATAGTTAAGTTACTTAGCAATTATACAATAGAAAATATACATATCGCATTGGTCCATAAATAGTCCTCAGAGTTACCATTCATAATTCTCCACGGGATATAACACTTATATCATTCGTAAATAATAGTTACCAAACTCCACTGGTATATTATCACTTTTTATTTGTGTAACTTTTAAAGAATTGTAATAAATTTTGTAAATCAATATAAAATGTAAACAAAAACAGATGGAATCAATGAATCAAACATTGAAAAGTAACAAAAGTCAGTTGATAGAAGAATTTCGACTTCCTGTTCTGCCAACGCCTTCGTCATACAATTGCACGTTTCGCGATCAGTCCCACGAACGAAACCGCTACGTATCGAAAGTGTAAACCCTTTCTAGCGGGGGGCTCCTGTAGTGACCGGCCAGTCTCGATAAGAACACGATTGGAATAACGGAAACAATTATTATTATTGTAACCAATTGTACCAGAGATTGTTTTACTGTATTTGTTTAACTGTATCAGTTTCACTTCTTGTTTCGCTCTCCGCCTTGTTTGGTTCAAACTTGCTCACGCACTGCTCAATTTGCCTGTACTCTTTGGCACGTCTCGGTGTTATTTCAATACCACGAGATCGCCAATAAATATACTTGATCTGGATTAATAAAGCCTTCTGATTTACGAGCTATCAAAGGAACCAAGTCGTTTTTTGGCGCGTAAACGAATTGTAATGGTGATCATAGTCCGTCCTCGACTCGACATCCACTACAAATTAAACAGTGCAAATTCATTTCTTATCCACCTGAAATAACATACATAAACATAATATTAAACTGATAAATAAACATGGATCCTAGTTACTTGAATTAAAGGATTTATAGGTCATCAACCAGTGAAATTTGAACTTATTTAATCAGTTCAATATTGACTTGTCATATTGTAAAAAATAGCTGTCGTGATGATACATAAGCGCAAGAATAAAATGTATGTACTGTAGTGAACAGAACACGGGCGTGGCAGTCGAATGTATTTGACACGGAAATTACAGACTATGTCACTAAAATCTAACAACCATACAGTAAAAAGAGATGGATAGTGGCTAGCAGTGGAATCCAGGACGCGCGTTTCGTCCTATTTGGAACTCATCAGCTGGATGTACCTGCATCTCAGAGTTGATGTTCACTCTGGGACTCGAACCCAGTAGCCTCGCTTCAAACGCCATCGCGTTATCCACTCGGCCACTGAGTCCTGATAGCCACTTGCTTGTGCGATGAGGTCCTTGATTCCACTGCTAGCCTCTATCCATCTCTGCTAACCATGCTTGTGAATAAAGATATATCAAGGCAATACGCACAGTATGCACATATGCCAATTAGAGACTGACCAGTTGCAGTCCTAACAAAATCGATGGGAAGATTCAAACAAACAATACCAAGTGAATTCATACAGTAAACAGTTAATTTGCAAAAATAACAATCAATTGTCTCAATTTTGACTATGCCTTCTGCAATTATCAGTTCATCGTTTCTAATTTCATTGTTCATGAATTTTCATACCGATTGCATTACGTTTCGGTTGTTTCCTTATCAATCTTCAAGTGAAATACATTCTATGCCTGACTATTATCATATACTACTTATGTGGATATAAGTAACTTACTTACGCCTGTTACTCCCAATGGAGTATAGGACGCCGACCAGCATTGTACAACCTAATCTGTCCTCAGCATTCCTTTCTAGTGCTATCCAATTTTTGTTAATTCTTCTCATGTCTGTCTCCATTTCTCGAAATAATGTGTTCTTTGGTCATCCGCTTCTCCTTTGGACTTCAGGATTCCATGTGAGGGCTTGCCTTGTGACACAGTTGAGTGATTTCGTCAATGTGTGTACTATCCACTTACAGTGCTTCTTCTTTATTTCTTCCTACACTAGATGAAATCTGGTTTGTTCTCTCCAACCGTAGCTTGTTGCTGATAGTGTCTGGTCAACGGACCCGAAGTATTTTGCGTAGAGAACTGTTAATAAACACTTGTATCTTGTGGATGATGGCTTTCGTAATTCTCCAGGTTTCCGCCCCATACAGTAAAACTGTTTTGACATTTTTATTGAAAATTCTGATCTTTGTGTTGGTTGACAGACAATTGTTTTGAGTTCTAGATATTCTTCAATTGTAAATATGCTGCTCTTGTTTTGCCTATCCGCGCACTCACATCTACATCAGATCCACTGTGTTCATCAATGGTGCTGCCTAGATATGTAAAGGTTTTTACATCCTCCAAAGCTTCTCCGTCAAGTGTAATTCGATTGGTACAGGATATAAGTAACCCACACAACAATACTACTTAAATTTCTCTATAAGTAAATAGATTATCAATATTATTATTATTATTTAGCTATTGTTTTTTTAAATAAAGGAAATATAAAACTGATGATAGATTTTTCATTGTGAAAAATATATTTAAAATTTGATTGCCTCCAATTTTAGTTCATTATTCAATAGATGATCATACTATTTAACCTTAAAAATACTCTTTTTTTTAACACAAATTTTATTCTGGACAATCTGATTTTACAATGAAGTATGAAAAAGAAAAAAAAAAGAAAGTTTAACAGAATAAGGTCAGATTATTGATTGGTGATAATCATCATCATCATCATCATCATCATCATCATCATCTGGATCCTAGTGTTTTTATTTTGAATTCGATTGATTATTTATTTATCTATTTATTTATTTGGACACATAAATATTGGTACAAATGGACACCAGATACATATGCGCCACATAAATCTTATTTGATTTATGTAAAGTCTGTAACACTGCCCGGGTGCCTAAACCGAAGCAGGATTCAATTGATTTTAAGAACAACAACACTGTAATTCAAGCGTATTTAGTTGAATAGTTTCAAATAAAAAGAAATACATGTAATAAACACTTGTAATAATATAATATAATGATTCGTTTAGATACACATATATGAACGAAGACTTATTCAAATCCAGTGTGAATTATCAACAATGAGATAATCCAAATATTTACAATTAAAATTGAAAGATAAGAGAGTTATGTGAAAATGGTTAAACTAGACGAGTAATTCCGAGATCACTTGTTCACCTAGATGCTTGAACATCGTGTGTTGAAGATATAGTCAAGTGGTGGACGAATATTTTGTAACGTTTCACATTGCAACAAAACAATTGTACAGCTGTAGTGAACAAGAACACTGGTTGGGACAATCGAATGTATTCAAACGTAAATCAATGACTATTTCACTAAATTCTGATAACCATACAATCAACAGTTAATTTGCAAAATAACAAGCAATTGTCTCAATCTTAACTGTTTCTTCCGTAAATATTAGTTTGTCTTCTCTGATTTTATTGTCCATGCATTTTCATACCGATTACGCTTCATTCCTGTTCTTTCCTTATTGATCTTCTGCCAAAATATAATCTATGTCTGACTATCACCGTATACTACTTTTATAGATATAAGTAGACCACACCACAAGAGTATTTTACAAATTTAATTTTTAAAATGAAATCATAAATAATGAGAAATGAGTGTATTTATGTTAAAATTATTTACTATATATTAAAGTTGTTACAATCTGAAATAGAGTAACAATTAAATTTTATATAGACATGTTGTTATTCCAGGAAAAGGATCCGGAAATATCGGGCAACCAGGACATCCTTTACAATTTCGGCAATTGGGACAACCAGCTGAACATGAACATGGCGTATCTGTTAATAATAAAAATAATAATACTTATCAAAAGAGTTTTTGTGAAGATTTAGTATTTACATAGTTCAAAGCGTGAGTCAATTGAAGCTAGACCACCAGGGAAAACCTGGAAGCACTGGACAGCTTCGAATCTCGCGAGGCGAGATCGTGGATGCGTACTACTGAAAAGTCCCACAATAGGACGAAACGGTCATCCAGCGCTTCCAGGTTTTCCCTGGTAGTCTAGCTTCAATTGACTCACGCTTTCAACTATGAAAATAATAATAATAATAATAATAATAATAATAATAATAGCATACATCATTTCATCATTATTATCATTTAACATAATATTGAAAATACAGATGATCTGAATAGACAATACCTTGTGATTGACAATTAAATCCAAGTAATATTACCATTAACAATATCTAAATTTAGATTTACTTATGGATATGGATGGTTTAACTTACACCAACTACATTCATTCTAAATACTAATTGTAATGAATAGTATAAAATGTATTAAAAAGAAAAAAAGAAAAAAAAACGGATTAGCCAATATATACTGACAAATGGTAAGTTATGTTAACACTTATAGGAGTAATAAAGGTTCTATGGATTGTACTAATCAGAATATTCGATTTTTCACACCGTTTAATGTAATTTATGTATAGATTATCAATGAATTGAATATATATATTTTTCGAAAAGAGATATTGGTTAATTTTATTGATTGGTTATAATATTTAAAGTTGATCAGATCTAGATTTCTGTATTAGAGAGATCAGTAGGAATACATGATCAGGCGTTTATGTGGATAGGACACACATTGAGGAAATCATTCAACTGTGTCACAAGACAAGCCCTCACATGGAATCCTGAAGGTGAAAGGGAAAGAGGAAGACCAAAGAAAACATTTCTCTGAGAAATGGAGACAGACATGAGAAGAATGAACAAAAGTTGGATAGAATTATAAAGGAAGGTCGAGGACAGAATGGGTTGTAGAATGCTGGTCGTCGGCCTATGCTCCATTCAGAGTAACAGGGGTAAGTAAGTAATCAGACGTTTATAATAAATGTAACCTACAGATTCGTATTAAAATGAATAAACCAAGCTATTTTAATTTTGTAATAACAAATGTAATTGAGTTTACATCTTCAATTAATTAGTTTAGAAATTGGGTGTTTTTTGTGTGAAATAGATCTCATCAAGAAATCGAAATTGAATGAATATGAAGTGATAAAAAAATCCAAACCATTGTAGTGCTATGCTTCGCTAATCGTTCACCTCTATAGCCGTTATAATACAATTCTTGACGGTGCATAAAATCAGAAGGCAAAGAGAAGCGGCAGCTACACTTTTATTGACAAATGACGTAGGCCAGAAAGCTATAAACACATGAGTAAATATCAGCGAACGAAGCATAAATGACACGCATTGAAGATGGCAGGTATGCCAAATCTCTTTAATCAAGCGTTGATCAATATTTATAGTCAGACAAGAATAAATGACATACATGTGATAGATGAGATAAGAAGGGTACATACACATACGCTCATGTAAAAAATAGTCAGGGTTAATGAGTAAATAAATAACAAGGTCAAAACATAACTCAAGATGGAAAGGTAAATTGGCTTGTCCAGAATCTAGAATACAGCATATGAGCTTAACGTATCAATCGACACCATACTATCACTGAAAATCAAGTGTTAGTGTTGAGTTTAGGAAATTGCCGATTACAACATAAATCCATCGTTTTTTTAAGTTTTTATATGTGCTGAGTATCCACGATGTACAGGCATTTTAAAAGCATTTAATGGGTGAGCGATAAATATAAGAGTGTAATTTTCATTGTAAATTTCATTTTAAGCATTAACTTTCAATTTAAACATACTTTCCACCACATATACTGGGATACTCTACACTGATATCGGTCACTTCAGAAGCTTAACATGAAATTTCCAGTAAAAATTACATTCCAATATCTAACACTCACTCACTAAAAGGACAGTACAATTTTAGTGAATACTACATACGATATAACTAGTGGACATTGAGAAATGTGTAAATAAAATAATATTCAATCTTAAAATTAGCAAATCGGTTTAAGGTCATTTTTTGTTTAATTGGCTTTTAATGCTATTTCCTCATATTCATTCGATGTGATTCGGTTCAATAACTTTCCGTGCATTTTCATTTATATTAATATAGATTTTGGAATCAAATGACTTTATTTAATTCTCATTCTATTAATTAATTCACCGTTTTCTTGTTCATGTGACATTAATGTAGTTTGATAAGTTTCGTAATTAATAATCATTGAACCTAATAGATATCATATGGAAATTACCTTAAATGTAATTTAAATCCTTTAAGGTCTTTGTAAACACCTTTTTTTCATATGACTTCTCTTTATCTGTTTTATATTTTGTGCAGATTATTGATGTTAAAGAGGTCTAGTTTGATATTCATACAACTTACTTATTTCACATAGATCCCTTTAGTATCAGAAGAATCTTCAAGTTATTCTTAAATAAAACATAATGTTTGTAGGTGTCATTGCCAAGGTTGGACTTTCTAATTTGAAATAATTTGAGCATTGTATAGATTGTTATTAATATCTCAATGGGATATTACAAATATATTATTTTTATTAAAAACATAATGTTATCTATTTAAGAATATGACAAGTAGCTAGCTATTCATTTCTTAGGCTGGGACGTGTAAGCGGTTTGTGAACGTAAATGTTCACTTTATGAAAGTCACCTATTCAGGATACTTAAATTTTCAATGGTATTCCAGATAATATCGTTTTCAGTATGGGGTTGTGGAGATTATTAAGCTTCGATTAAGATTATGAACCGATTGATGTTAGACCACCACTGAAAACCTGGAAGCATTAGACGACCGCCGTGTCCTACTGTGGGACTCCTCAGAAATGCGCATCCACAATCCCCCATGCCGAAACCGAACCAAGCGCCTTCGGTCTCGTGAGCAAACGCTTAACCTCTAGACCACTGATCTGGTATTAAACGGTTCATGATCTCGATCGAAGACTTAATAATTTCCACAACCCCATACTGATAACTACCATCACCAGTGAATAGCTTCGTGAGATAATTCTTGAATTTCTAGTGAGTACCCGTAACCAGTAGAACTAATCCATGTCAGGCAGAGACAGGTATCCACCTCAGTTCCGTGGATTGATTGAAGTCGGACTTTAACACCTTTGGATGCCGACTCAGTGGTCTAGAGGTTAAGCGTTTGTTCACGAGACCGAAGGCGCTGAGTTTGGGTTTTGCATGAGGGATCGTGGATGTGCACTGCTGAGGAGTCCCACAGTAGAACGAGACGGCCATACAATGCTTCCAGGTTTTCAGTGGTGGTCTAACATCAATCGGTTCATGATCTTAATCAAAAGCATAATATCGTTCCGTAATAAAAAAACACTCATTTGAAATATGAATATGCCGTCCATTAAGAGAGGTGAAAATTTTGTATAACCATAACTTTCGCTGTTATTAACTAATTGACCATTTTAAAAAACTGATTAATAAATGTTTCTTCATAAATGAAAAGTAACCATGCTATATTTGCTTATTTTGCTTAGAAAAATGACAGTTTGGTTTTCTGTCTTACTATGCATTGATGAGTGAAAAAAATTATAGGAAAGTACATTCTAGTAAACTTTTAATACTCAAATGTATTAGGCTATTTTTTAACGTTATCTATTAGTATTCTATAAGTCAGTTACATAATTGGTATTTTATTTATAGAATACAATTGATTGCAAAATATACAAATGCGAATGAAATTATCCATGAAGGTGTATCCAGCTGGCAAGTCCCGAATTAGACGAAACGTGCATCCTGGATTCCACTGCTAACCACCATTCATCTCTGCTTATAATGCTTGTAACTTAAGGCAATATCAAGGCAAATCGCATAGGATACACATATGCCAGTAAGAGACTGATTTACCCCAGTCCAAAACATCAATGAGAAAATTGAAACAACCAATACATAGATGAAATGAAATCATCCATTGTTTAAAAGCTTCAGATTAAGTTCGACATTTAATAGAAATGATATTATTTCAATTTAAGTAATAAATTTCATTGTATAATAAAAACTAGCATACAAAGATTCAAGATTATTCATGAGCCTATCGGGTTTATCATATTCAGTTTTGATATAAGCTTTTTTGTATCACTAGAAAAGTGATAATAATAATCTTTTATATAGTTAAGATCATGAGTCAATTGAAGCTAGACCACCAAGGAAAACCTGGATTAGTTGAGTTCAGACATTAACACCGTTGGGTGATGGCTCAGTGGTCTATCGGATAAGTGCTCTGGCGCGAGACTGGTATGTCCTGGGTTCAAATCTCGAGAGGCAGGATCGTGGATGCTCGCTGCTGAAGAGTCCCACAATAGGAGGAAAAGGCCGTTCAGTGCTTCCACGTTTTCCTTGGTGGTCCAGCTTCCATTGACTCATGATCTTAACTATATAAAATTACTAAAATCTCCACAAAACCCCCTTCTGATAATAATCTTTTATCAATTTCATTCTATCCAATTAACACCAGATTATATAGCAACTGGTCACAATTCGTCATGAAGATGAGGTAAATTGTAGAACCTATAAACTATCAAAATTTTTACGTTTTGTAAAACTTTAATTTTGTCTATTTACTCTAATCTAGTTTAGTAGCTTGGATCAAATTAAATTACTAGAATACGCTAGAGTAGGATATTTGAATATAAATCATACCTTCATTAGTCTATTGTAATAATTGTTTATCTCACAATTGATTGATCACTGGGTGGTGATCAATCTCATACGTATCAAGTTCTTAGTGCTGATCGAATGCTATCGATCAAGTTGCAATGTGGCCACCAGTCTAGGTGGCTCGATACTGTGTGCACTATATATATTAAGGTAACATAGTGGTTGGAGGTGGTCAACAGGAAACCCTGGACTCGGGTTTCGTGCTACTTGGCATTCGTCAGCAAGGTGTACCTGTAATCAGCACTAAGGACTTGACACGCATGAGATTGATCACCACCCAGCGATCAATCAATTGTGGTTACATCTCAGTCCTACAGGAGCTGGAAGCTGGTTTGTCCTCTCCCACAAAACACTGTTGCTGATAGTATCTGGCCAACGAATGTTGAGTATTTTACGTAGACAACTGTTTATAAATAATTGTACCTTCTCAACGATGGATGTAGTACAATAGGACTGTCTTGACGGTGGTATTGATTCTCACCTTGAAGTTAGTTGACAACTGTTTTGAGTTCCATATGTTCTCCAATTGTAGAAATGCGGTCCTTGCTTTGCCAATCCTCACCTTCACAACTGCATCCGATCCTCCTTGTTTATCGATGGTGTTTCCTAGGTATGTGAATGTTTTCACCTCTTCCAGAGTTTCTTCATCAAGTGTGATTGGGTTGGTGTTCTCCATGTTGTATTTCAGAATCTTGCCTATGTATATTGTAGTGCCGCGATTCGTTAACCGTTTACTTCGATAACCGTTATAATTCTAAACTTAACGGTGCGTAAAATCAGAAGACAAAGGATAGCAGCAACTACAGTTTATTGTCGAATGACTCAGGTTCGAAAGCTAACAACACCTGAGCGAATATGAACGAGCGAGTGAACAGGCAAACAAGCGAAGGAAACGAACGAGGACCAAGCGAGCGAGCGAGAGAAATAGCAAGCAATTACATAGGCAATTTATAGTCAAATTTAATACGGGCACAGCAAAGCAAAACAAAGGCTGATAATAATATTTGCGTGCGTACATATATGGGTAGGAGTATGAGTCATCGAATGATATTTAAGCAGTCAACATTTCGGCTAGAGTGTCATG